GAACCTTTTTAAATTAGCTGAAAATGAGAAGCTGGAGAGCACGAGTGAGAGGGAGCAGAGGGGTTCTCTGGCCCTTCCTCCTGGGGAGAGCTCTGCTAATGAAGCTTTGCAGGAAGGCTTTATAAAAATGAGTCAAAACCCCAACTGAAGTTGGAGGGTATAAAAATCCCCTATTTGGGGAGGGGGGCTGTGTTGGGTGAGCAGGGTGGGTGAGTGACGACTCCTGGTCCTGGGCCGGAGCATGATGGGAATGTGGGTTCATGCTCAGCCAAAGCCAAGGACCTCTGCTTATTCCTCAGATTATTTGGTAAATCTCACTAACCATAAAACTAGGGCAAAAGAGTCACATTTGTTCTCTGAATTGCTTTCCTTCTCGATTCCACCAAAGTCTACTGTTTCTGCATACAGAAAGAATGGAAATTATCATTAAAGCTGAATTATGATGGCATTTAAAAGGGAGGATAAAAGTTATGGCCAGAGGTTCTATTACAAAATACTTCCAGGATAGGTAATTGTGTAATTATTATGGCCAGAAATGAAAGTGATGGTTCATTAAAAGAAAATGACTGTGAAATAACAATAAATAAAGCCAAATTAAAGCCGTGGTAATTGCACAGCCCGTCCTGCCCGTGTGCTGGCGGGTGCAGGGCACAGGGGTGTGTGGCTCCTGGCTGTGGCTCCCTGGGGCCCCGGGCTGTGGCTCCCTGACGGAGCGGGCTGCGAGGGACGAGCAGGGTTGTCACTGCCCACGTCCGCGTGAGGACGTGGCCTTTCTGCGCGGCAGCGGGTGTCTCTCCGCCCTGGCCCAGGCTGGTGGCATCGCTGGATCTCCCTGGGGCGAAGGAGGGCTGGACGGGCAGGCTGCAAGCGCAGGTCAGGTCGGAGTTTTTTTTTGGGCCGAGCGTGGGCTCGTGCTCGTGGGTCCCTCCAGCAGCACGCCGCTCTGCTCCCCGCAGCCCTGCGTGTCCTGCCTGCACCCTTCACCGAGCCTTTCCTCCAGCGCCTGACAAGGGCTCCTGCGGGGCTCCTGCCCGCGCGCCGGGTGCGTGAAGGGCTGCGTGCACGTTCCTGAGCTGAGGGTGCGGAGCAGCCAGGTCTGACGGCCTGATGTGTGCTCGCCTGCGCGCGTTTCGAGATGGCACGCTGCAGACACGCAGCTTCCCCGTCCTCCTCGCAGCGTGGCTCCTGCTCGCTGTGGAAATAAAAGCCGGTTGCCGGTGACCCAGGGGACGTCTCGGTGCGTGGCTCTGCGCTTGTTCCTCCAGTGCTCATTAAACAGGACCTGCAGGGATCGCCCGCTCTCAGGTCACGGGAATGAAGTCTATCCAGCCCTGTTTGGCTAATTTGTATTGTGCTTGTGTGGGCCATTACCCGGCGAAAGTCATTGATTTGCGATGCTAACTAGCTTCTAAACCCGGATCCCAGAGGTGATAAGCCAGCACATTAGTTTTCTTTCTTCCTTAATATTTTAATGGCATTGGGAGGAGGAGCAGCAGAGCAGCCGGGATTTCTGATGAACACCATGACATCTGTGTGTCACCGCAGGGTGAAAAAGCCATCCTGGTCATCCCTCCCCCAGCCAGGGGATGGTGTGCGATGGCGAGATGGGAGCACTGGTTTTAGCTGGGGCCAGGGGTGGTGGTACTCTGTTGGAAGCCATAGGCAGCTCGACGCACCAGCCCCTTTTGTAGCAAAGTGTGCCTCTCATTATCAGCTGCGATTAACTAATGTGCTCATTCATTTCAATAAAGCTCTTGGCTTGGCCGTGGCAAGAGGCTATTAATTTTGCTGGGTAGGATGGATGGGTGTGAGGGCTGTTAAGAGAAGAGCTCCGATGCAGGAGGGCTGGAGCAGGACCAGTGCTTCTCCTTACGGGTGGGCTGGGGAGATGCTGGCTCGAGCCGCGCGTATGTCATCAGCAGCCCTGGGGCAACTGCCAGAGGCCGGACAGCGCTGTCTGCGCTGGGCTCTCGCGGTGCCTTGTGACATGCACCGGCAGCGCTGCCTGGGAGAGGCGGGGGGGGTGGCCTGGGGGCTCCGGTGTACAGCCCTGCGTGACGGTGGCCGTTTCTCCTCCCGCAGTGCACGTAGAGCCCGGCACGTGCGAAGTCATTGCAGCTCACAGGTGCTGCAATAAGAACAAGATCGAGGAGCGCTCTCAGACGGTGAAATGCTCCTGCTTCCCGGGGCAGGTCGCAGGGACAACGCGGGCGGCTCCCTCCTGCGTGGATGGTAAGTGCCCCGCTGGGTACCGTGAACCCCCCGACTGTGTCTTCCCCATCGGTCAGGCTGGTGCAGAGTTTCTGTGCCCCCAGGATTAACAGAGGAGACTTGCCCAGGGGCTCCTGCAGCAGAGCAGAGGGGGAGAGGGAGTGTTTTGGGGACGCTCTCCACTGGGGTGGCTGCATTACCCCACCCTGTGCAGCCCCGGGCTGTGTGCCGTGCGTGGGTTCTGGTGCTCCAGCAGTTCAAGCTCCTCCAGCGCGTCACTGTGCTGGAGCCCGGTGCTGCAGCGTTGATCCCTGCGCGTCTGCTCGCTGCGCTGCTGCAGCCGGAGGCAGGGACAGGACTCCAGCCATGCAGCACCATCGCCTGCGAGGAGTACTAAGCAAAGCTCCAGCCATGTATATTTTATCGAATGGCATCACGTGGCGTTGCGGAAGAGCTGGCCGGAGCAGCTGCAGCGGCTGCCAGCATGGGTCCGGTT